TCTTCTTCTTCTTCTTCTTCTTCTTCTTCTTCTTCTTCTTCTTCTTCTTCTCTCTCTCTTAGGTTGGAGGCTATTGCTGCTAGGGTGGAGGCCATCGCTAGTAGGTTGGAGGCCATTGCTTCTAGGTTGGAGGCCATCTCTATTAGGCTGTCCGTCTCTCTCTCTCTCTCTCACTCTGTTGTACTTCCTTGCAGTTTGCTGCACTTCGCATTTTCAACCTAGCGGCCCAGATCAGGTGGCCCTTCTTTTAGGAGAAAAGAACTGTTTTGCAAATATCTCTTGACTTTGACGAAGATGAGTAGGTAACAAGCAGAATACTCCTAAAAGCATTCTTGCATACGGAGTAGTAAGGACAGTAGGAAGGACTAGAGCCCTCCTTCTCCAAGGCCTAGTAGCATGGAGCCACGAAGTTTGTATCCTCAGATTTGCTCCACTTGGTGCAAGTAGGTTGGAGGCCGTCGATATTAGGTGGAGGTTATTGCTAGGAGGTTGGAGGCCATTGCTAGTAGTTTGGAGGCCATTGCTAGTAGTTTGGAGGCCATCGCTATCAGGCCGCCCTCAGGGGGAAGGAGCATGTAGGAAGTAGGAAGTAAAGCAGCTAGTAGCAGCTAGTAAGCAGTAAGAAGTACGTTGAGTAAACGGAAGACACTAGGGACTGGATGCAGAAGAGCTGATTTGGTTTCTGCAGTTCTCACTTAGTAACAAGAAGCTACTAGGAACAAGTGCCACGCTAGTAGTAACAAGTGCTTTACTAGTAGTAACAAATTAGAATTAAATTACAATTCTTCACTTACTGAAAATGTCTGTCTTGCCTGCGATCAGAAGGAGACCGCCGACGCCGAGGGGGCGAACGCCTGCATGTCCACTAGTAGCGTCCGATCGCTCCTAGTAGCGATGCCAGGAGCCCCTAGTAGCGAACCTTGTTACTACTAGTAAGGCACTTGTTACTAATAACGTCTTTGCTCCTAGTAGCGATGCCCTTCGTTACTAGTAGTTTCTGGTAGCATCCTTGTCACTAGTTTACTTTGCAAACCTCTTTTATCACAAGTTCCAAACCCCCCCCCTCCAACCCTACCCCCCTACAACATAACCCTTAAATAAGGGTTATTTTCTGCGAAGATTCCTACTACAAGAAGACCTGGAACAATGGTCATTTGCTGAGAAGCTTGCTCCAAAAGGCGTCCTTGCCTGAAGCTTGGGAGCCTCTACTAGGATTGTTTCTCATACCCATGGTTCTCTTAGAAACGACTGGTGATCAGGGTGATTTGAGTGTCACTCTGAGCCCTTCTTGAAGTTGAGGGCACACCGCTCACAAAATTATCACCTATACATGAGCGCTTGGGAACTAGAGGAGAACTAGACTTGGGCCCTACTAAAGGATCAAGAATGCTGAACATCATTGGAACATCTCTGAAATAATAAGAGGACAACTTGTGTAATATCCTGTTTCGGGGAGCCCCCACCCATCTCCCGATGTGATGCTGATGCGGATGCTGCTGCTTTTTGCTGGTCACACATTTCGTGACCTGCTGTCGAGTCTGGCTTGCTGTCACATTCGTGACTGGCGCTCTCCACGTGGTCCTCTACAAGCTCTTGACATACCTGACAAGATCACCATGCGCAGGCCTCAGATGAAATGAGAACGAGAGGCTGACCTAAAAGGGAGGCACAAACTAAACAAGATGCTCAGATTTGGCAAAGGTAATTCAAAGGGAATTGGTGGTACCGAAACAATAGTGTCGCCCATTTTGGGTCATGCACACTCCCTTAAATAGTCATGGAAGTGGAAACCCGGCATTGTAGAGGAAAACAACTGGTCATCTAGGTCCAAGAGAGGTCATTTTCCACTTCCATGATCATTACACATCATCCAAAGAACGGGTCAAACTTCTTGGATGGGTTCTCATTGTTCCATCTCGTGTAGATGAAACTGATGCATGCTTCCAGCGCTTCTGACTCATCGGCACACTTCGTGGTGTTCCACTTGCGCTGAAAGTTCTTCTGCAAAGTAGGATCCTCACCTGCAAAGTACGAGAGGTTTCTCTTGCACTTGGCGCAAACGGTCTCCACCAAGTTGAGATTTAATCTCATAGTGAGGGATTCCATGTTAGGACAAGTGTGTGAGGCCTCAAAAGAAAACTTGATCTAGGAATGTGAAAATCTGCACTAGCTTACCCAATTGTAAACAAGAGACTCGGATAGAACGCCCTGTAGCCATAGCCCTTCTCATCCCGGTTCAAGCTGATTTTCTTGGCTCTCATCTCATCCTTCAAGAAGTCTTTCAAGGAAGGAGGAGTTTGGCTCGCTTTCCGGCTGGAATCAGCCTTTTCTTTAGAAGAGCCTCCAGCTGTCTTTGCCTCGGCTGCCGCTTCTGCCTCAGCGGCAGCTTTCTTTCTTCTTTCTTCCTCCAGTATTCTGACCCGCTCCATTTCCTGCTCTTTTGTTTCCTGAATTTTCTGGAACTCTTTCTCAACAGTCTTGCGAGTCTCAGCAGCGACTTTCTCTTCGCTGGTCTGTTGGAGTTTCTCCTTGGCAAGTTTGATGATACGAAGAAACTCGGGTGCATTACGGTTCTCTTCATCCAACTCAGAAACCCAAGCAAGGATCTCTTTCTCTTTGTCGCCCAGGTGTTCGAATTTGCCTCGCCATGTCAGCCCAGCAACCATGCGCTTTCTCTCTTCAGCCGTGACACTGTCTGAGTCTCCGAAAAAATGGTTGACTAATGCCTGTGCCAAATCCACTTTCAAACGTTGAGCTGGAAAGGGGATGCCAAGATGTCTCAAAATCTGCTTCAAGTTGTCAGCTGAGATCCAAGCGCCTTCTCTGACTGCTGATTTGATCAGTGACTCGCCAGGGCCTGCCACTTCCCAAGCGAAGCACTTGCCCTCCACAAACACCTCCGCAGGCACAAAAGCGCGCAACAGTTTCCTCACTGGAATATAGCGCCAATCTGCCTTGTCTTCCGAGAGCTGGCAGTTCACCATCCATTGAAGATCTGTCGCTAGCCAGCCACTCTCCCTCTTCTCCTCCTTCAGGAGCAAAAAGTCCTAGAGAAGCAGACTAACGGGAATGAAAAGTGAGGGAACAAATTGGGCAGTTACTTCAAAGAAATTCCTGAGGACATGTGGAGTCACCTCAACGAAAGCTACCTGATGTCAGGTGAACTGAGACCACCTACTTCAAAATATACTATGTATTTCAATATCAACCAAGTGGCCTTGCCAGCAATTGTTCTCTTCTCCAATGGAAATCCCACAGCAGCCCACGTTCTATGACCGAGGCTGAGATAGACTCTGTCTGATGGGCAGTGCAGGTATGCGCAGCCAGGGACAAACAGACTACCTGGTGACTTAGCCAAAAGCAAATGCAAAAAGCAAATCAAAAGATACCGTAGATATTAAAAGAGATTTGTCTGAATCTCAAAAAAAGAGGAAACTTCCAGCCCATAAAACCCAAACCAGACACCAACCCAACAAAGATCGATGTGGGACCAGCGGTTCATAGCGTCATGGAGCAAAAAGGCCGCAGCTGCTGATGCTCTCTGCTGCGCTTCAACGCCGGCCGGTCTGAATCCTGCTGCGTAGATCTTTTGTGGTTTCGGCACAGCGTGAGGAGCTGGAAACAAAGTTGCCTGTGGACTGAACATAGTGCGGTGAGCTTGTTGCCGGGCCAAAAGTCCTTGTGGCCCATGCAAAGTGGAAAAGTCTGACTTTGATGGCAGTATCTGTGGGTTTCCAGAGGATAATGGATAAGGGTTGATAATGGTGTAACAATACTTTGTCCAGTCCGAAAATTTGTTGGCAGAAGAATTCACCACCGATCTCCGTTTCAAGAACGCAAACGCGTTCTCCATCAGATCTTTCGTACTTGGGCTTCCTGCTGCCAATCTCTTTGCTACCTTTCTCAATTCATCTCTCTGTTCCTGCAACACCAATGCCATCACTTCACGCGCCAATGGCTGTCGGTTGTAGCCTAGATCGAAGAGAAGTCGTTTCAAATTGCCATTTTTGCGTCTGTCATATTCCATTTCAGCTGCATTCACTGCGGAGGCAAGTCTTCCCATATGGTTGAAGATCATATCTCTCCGCGCTGGGTCTTCTGACAGGAACCCCATTGCAACTGATGGAAAGTGGTAGAAATAGAAGATATTTGACCACAGCCAGTGTTCTGAAAGCTTCGTTGCAAAAAGCGCAGCTTTCTCTAACCGTTTCACCTCATCTGCAGCCCAATCCGGAAGGATTTCTGGTGGGACCTCTGAACGCAAGCAGTGACCCATGTCTAGATGGTCATGGATCTTCTCACTTTCCAGCGTTTGCAGAATTGAAGCCACAGTTGCAACCCAAGAATCACCCAGAGCCCGATTAGATGTCCAGCTCATTTGTTCCTGCCAGCCATGCGACAGTGCCTCCAAGGTTGAGTAGTAACTGTTCTCCAAAGGGTAGGACACATCCAAAATGATAAGAGCTGCATACCGAAGCTCCGGGTCGGACATAAAGCGTGAAATCATGACAGTGGGCCCTTTGTTGTTGAAAAGGCGGTACAAGTCTGACTTGGTGCGGGGTTCCTCTGCAGGTTCCTCTTCTGCCCAATCTTCTGGTTGTTCATGTTCGTCCTCATCCACCTAATTGAACTGCTTGACTCTTGCATTTTAAAAAGTCTAAGAATTTTGAAGAACATCAAAAGCATTGTCCCTTATTAATTGAGTTGGTTTCTGCACACAGGAAAGACTCAGGTGATGACGGCCAGTGCACTTGACTTGAAAAAACCTATCAGTAGATTTCGGAAGCAATGCGGCTGAGTTTCCATGCATTGCTCCAACGCCGCCAATGATTCCTTTTGCAAGGTCCAATCATAAACGAGGTCCCTCAATGCCGCTTGCAGCCCAAACCAAGACTTGTTCTTTACCTGGTTTGATGTGACCCTGTCCAAACAAAGACATACAACTGGTCTTCGTTGTCTGGGTGTTTGAAGTGAACCTTTGAAACCAGAAGACCGCAACCTTTCGAAAATAATTACCAATGAAAAACTCAAGTGGCTTTTCATTTCTGTTTGAAAAGGAAGCCACAACTTGTTACTTGCCAGTGCTGGAGGAAAACGTATTAATTTCGGCAGAGTGCATACAATCCTCTGCATCTCAACGCTTTGCTGGATAACCAGTCTGACATCAGCGAAGCAAGGTCCATTTCAGCATACTGCTCAACTGGTTCTTCTCTGTCCCTTGCAATCAACTCTGAGATAGTTGAGAAGTAGCTTGGGTCACGCTTCGCGCAGTCTGAGAGGAACACAGAGAACGCGTCCCGCTTGGCCTCGAGTTTGTCTCCTGATTTGTAAGCACCATGGTCGAAGTTACCTGGCCAAGCGCTGAGTTGTGAGTGAATCCGGTTGGGGTTCAACTCCCTATTGAATGGACATTCTGAAGAGCACATCCAAAAGGTCCCAAAGCCTGACTAAACAATGACTGAGCTGCATGCAAGTGTTAACTTCATTGAATCTATTGTCATGAACGAGTGGCTGATGGCCTTCTTGAAAGCGTTCCAGGAAGGATGGCTCGTTTCACTCTCTGCGAAACCTCTGAGACCCAGCCCCTCAACAGAATCAAAAAGGTACAGGAAAGCCTTCTGCTGTGTGGTCTCATCATCGGCCACAAATTTGAGGATTCTCATGCGCTCCACGGGGCCAACCTGTGCCTGCCTCAAATCTCCCCCAACAGCGAGGAGCCTCTCAGGTGGCACCTTGAAGTCTGACAGGTTTTTCCGGGTCAGGCTGACTAAGAAGTGGTTGATGGTGCGGAGTATCACCTGAGCACGCAGGAGAAATTGAAGTTCAAATGGTCTTAAACTGCCTTGACTCTGTTCATCTGTTTAACACTGTGTATTTCTTGACTGACTTCAAAGACACCACAGCTCTGGCTCTGTCTGTTTGAAAGCAGAACTTGAAATTTAAAACGGCTCTTTGTCGTTAAATCATTGTCTGACTGGGCTGCCGGGCAAAGAATAGGTTTGATTGCTTCTTGGTCAACTTTGGCCTGGCGTCAGCCGTCTTGAATGCTAGGAAACTACATAGGAAACTAAACACATCTTGAAATCCTTCCGTTACCTTTCATGACACACCACTCCCTCTTCCGATGACAAAAGAGTGGTAATAGACACAGACAAAATGCAGAAATCAAAGCCCTTTGCAGCACACCTTTCTGCTCTTTATTCTAGCCTGCAATAACTCCATCTCAGCAGTTCAAAATCTGCCTCCGAAATACGGGGGCCAGCTAACAAAGCTGAAGAAACCTAGTGGCGCCAACAAGGGGCCTGCCCAGGCTCACTCATTCCATCTCCTCCTCGAAGCCTCGCCGACACATTCGACGGAAACGCTGATGATCTGGAGTGCGGTCAGCAAGCGGAATTCCTCGAGTGATTGGTGAGAAAGAAGGTGGTGAGTTTTGGCGCCCTTTCACGGATGATGCCCTTGGCGATGAATAAACTGTGGACGTCTCCCCTCCAAGAGCCAGCAAAGCCGAGGGGGCTTCTTCGGCCAGCGACATTGCTTCCACTTCAGCAAGAAGTTCTGCGGTGGGGGAGTCCTTCGTGGGGGAGTCCTGCGCCTTCTGTGGTGGGCGACAAGGCGCACCAGGTGACTTGATGGTGCGGGTATGGCGAGGTGGTGTCTCATAGACAAATCTCTTCTTCTGAACCTGGTAAGTGGCATCCGAGTTCTCTCCAACAGGCTGCAAAACCTGAGTCTGACGGGGAGGTGTTTCCATGTCCAGCTGCGTCATGGCGCAATCTTCCGTGAATGAAGGCGGCTCAGGCGCAGGTTCATAAGTCTGAGAGGATAGAGGCTGCTGCCCCTTTCCTCCACCTTTGCCTTGCCCTTTTGGCTGGCTGACCAGCACGACTCTTGGTCCTGTGCATGCAGGAGAGAGCATCCTCTTCATGCCTCGTCCTGGAGTATCAACTTCCATATGCTGCTTTGGGGCCATTGCTTCGAAAACTGTTCGTAGTGCGCGAGACAATAGCCTGATTTCTGTAAAGTAGCAGCGGCAAAGAATTAAAAGTTAAAGAAGGCCAGACCGTGACTCAACCCTCAATCGAGTGATCACGTAACCATCGCGTATTATCAGTAAGCAGCTTTGATTGTTTTCATATAACAAACTATTGAATAGTTCACATCATCTTTCCCGCCAACGCTGCGACGCCGGCCCAGGTGCCTCCACACTGAGCTGCCATCCAGTTGTTCTGCGAAGACCTTTTTGAGGACCTGGGCGGCCGTTGATGATTCTGATGGAAGGTTTACCCACAGTTGAATTAGAGGGAAGATTGAAAGCTTTTGGATTCAAAAGAATGACATGGAGCAAGGACGCTACTAGGGGCTCCTGGCCTTACTACGTTACTAGGAGGAGTATGACACGAACTTGCCGCCCATCTCATCAGAATGCCCCCAAAAGCAAAAGACAGGTCACTTAAAGTTGTAAAAGACAGGTGGGGCTTGTTTTGAAAGACCTTCACCCTCAGCCAACAACTCACAAACAAGTGGCCATGGTGGCCATGGTGTGTGAAGTTGCGACTTGAATACCCCCAATCCTCACTCCTCCCAATCCCCAGTCAGCTATTTTTGGCTGCGATTTGCTGCCTGGTATGTGATTCGTCAGTCTTTGTCTTGCTCATTCTGTGCGGTAGGCCATAGTCATGGTTCATAATCAGGAAATAGATGGAAACAAAGAAGGAGTAAACAACTAAACAAATGGCAACATCAAGCCCGTGTCGGCTGATTCAGTTTTAGCTCTGGGGACATGTGCTCGCAGTAGATTCAGTAGATATCTGACTCGGCCCAGTGAGCAAAACCCGACCAGCTTTCCATGATACAGTGAGCTGACAAAGCAGGTGGAGCTCCAAATTAAATCGCCGGAGGTTTGGATTGTTGGAGTAGCCAAATCAATGAGAATTACAACTACAGGCTACTTTTAAAGACCAAGCCTATGATTCCCTAGCTGTGCTTCCCATATGTTTGAAGACAAGAAAGAAACCGGCAAACTTCTTTCTTGTTTACCAGCACCACTCTTGGTCCACTGGTCCAAAAGAAACACACTATACATTATAAGTCAAAGATCAGAAATGCATGACGATTATACGTGGGTGCCCGCGGAACAGCTGGTTGAATTCACTTGGGTGAACTCCGAAATCAGTAGCCTTTGCCACTGGCAGAATCTCCTTATGTGTGATCCGTTTCCGAATGGCGGTCTTCCCATCATATCCTGAGTTGGGAAACCAAAATGAAGAGCTGAGCTGCCAATACTACTGTAGTAGTTCCTGACTAACCGTTCTTATTAAAACCCGGCTTTTAGAAGGGCAAGAAAATGTTTTATAATTCAGTTGGCTGAGTATCCTTTCGTCATCACCAAATGCGTCGCCCCATCAAGCCGGGGCAACCAGTGGTCTGAAGCGGCTCTGATTTCACATCTTTTCTTCCCAGACTTAATGGCGTCATACCATTTCGTGTTCAAGGGAATGTGGCAATCTTTCTCCTGAAGCCTATTCACCTGGCAGGGCGGGGTGTTTGTTGATTACATAGTCTTTGTTGCTTTCAGAATTCGACCTAGTTGCGACATTGCCTGTTTCTTTCCCTGGCAAACCAACCCGGGGCTGTCTGTTTCCAGGCAATTTCGAAGAAGTTGGAGACGGCCTATTGCTGTTTTTTTTCAATCTTGTAGCTGGTTTTTGATTTTAAGCGCAACGCTTATCAGTGGCTTCCTTCTTGATTCCAGGGTATTACTTTTTTGGACATGACGCACTCTGCTCAAACCCTGTCATGTGCTTGTTTGCCATTTCCGTTGTTCCAAGTTTTCATTGTCTAAAAGCCCTACTATTTCATTGATATGTTTAATTGTACTTTTCTGGCAGTGTTTCTTGACTAGGCCCTACTTATTTTCTGGCTATCTTCGGGAAATAGTACAGATTTGGCCAAAACCATGAGTTTTTACAGTGTTTCTTCACTATTTCCACCTTATTTTCTAGTTATTTTCTAGTTATTTTCTAGTTATTTTCTGGAAATTGTGCAGATTTGGCCAAAACCATGGGTTTTTACCGTGTTTCTTCACTATTTCCACCTTATTTCCTAGTTATTTTCTAGTTATTTTCTAGTTATTTTCTGGAAATTGTGCAGATTTGGCCAAAACCATGGGTTTTTACAGTGTTTCTTCACTATTTCCACCTTATTTCCTAGTTATTTTCTAGTTATTTTCTGGAAATTGTGCAGATTTGGCCACAACCATGCGTTTTTACAGTGTCTCTTCACTATTTCCACCTTATTTTCTAGTGATTTTCTGGAAATTGCGCTGATTTGGCAAAAACCATGGGTTTTTACAGTGTTTCTTCACTATTTCCACCTTATTTTCTAGTTATTTTTGGAAGTTGGCAAAGTTTGCTAAAACAATGTTTTCCTATTGTTTCTTAACTACTTCCACCCTATGTGCTTGTAAGCTGTATTGAAACACTGCTCACAGTAGCCATCCCTGAAGCTCCACCTAGTGTCACTCTAGGTCCGGATTCCTAGGAAGTGATGCCTTCATTTCAGTCTTCTTGACCTGCGTCGACGGCGCTGCTTTCTTTTCCTTGTCATCGCCCTCCTTCTTCTGGTCTTTTCCTTCCTTTTCCTTTCCATCGCCATCCTTCTTCTTGTCTTTTCCTTCCTCCTCCAACTTCTTCATATTCTCTAGTGCCTGGGCCTTCGCTAGAACTGCATCTTGAACCATCTTCTTTGCAGCGGCCTCATCAGCAGCTTTCTTCCGCTTCTTTTCTTCAGCTTCTTCAGCCATCTTCTTGCGGATTTCTGCCATCTTTGCTTCATGAGCCTCATCCTCTTTCTCCTCCTTCTTCAGATCCTCCTTCTCTTCCTCACTTTTTGTTGCACCGCCTGCCTCCCGTTTAGCATTCTCATGTTCCTTCAACTGCTTTGCCTCTTGCTCTTTCATGATCTTTTCTCGAATTTCCTCCTCTAGTTTCTTCCTTGTCTCTTCTTCCAACCTCGCCCTCATTTCGGCTTCTTTCTCTGCTTTCGCCTTCTTGTCAGCCTCCTCCTGCTCTTTCTTTTTCTTCGCCTCTAAATCTGACTTCGCCTTCTTCTCATCCTCCTGAGCCTTTTTTTCTGCAAGCTTCAATCGCATCTCTTCTTCAATCTTAGCCCTCATCTCCTCTTCTATCTTCTTTTTCTGCCTTGCCTCTGCCTCTTTCTCTTGTTTCTGCTTCACCTCTTCCTCAGCTTTCTGAATGTCGGCCTCAAGCCTTGCCCGCAACTCAACCTCCAGTCGGGCCCTCAACTCACTTTCAGAGTCAGCTTTGGTATCCTTGTTGCTGCCGTGTTTTGATTTCTCTGTATCTGTCTTGGCTGTTGTCCTTTGGCTGTGTTCTTCCAAAGCTTGTTCCGCCACTTTCAATCTGGAAGGGTCTGTGATAGCCTTGACTTTTGATGATGCCAAAGCTAGACTCACTTCGACGTCCTCTTCTTGTCCAGATGGACTGGAAAGGACACTCACTTTTCCTCTACTGTCAGTCTTGTGAGTGACCACCCAATCAGTGCACTTTTGGGTTGGCAGTTTGAGCTCCTTCTTGTTGGCTGGATCAATCAAGAACATCTTCTTCTGATGGCCTGGCTGCTCAAAGCAGTAAACTAGCGGCTGGGGTCCTTCCATGTCTTCTTCATGATCTGTGCCTTCAGGACTCAGAGAAGAAGATGACGACTCTCCAAAGTCTTTGATTGCTTCCAATTGTCGTCCTGCTTTCCTCTTGGGGAGTGAACGAAGAGAAGAAGACTCATCTTTACGCTTCAGGCCTGTGCCGGTCATGCCTTTCATCTTTGGCGGCTTCGCATTCTTCCCCACAGTCATCTCCTTCTCTGCTGCCTTGATCTCATTGAAAATGTCCAAGGCTTCTTCCTCTTCATCTTCTTTTCCTTCCTGTCGAACATAGTCAATGCCTTTTCTCGTGCTGATTTCCCATGAGCTGCCTTTCTCAGGCTCACCCAATTCAACTGATTCACCAGCCCCTTCATGAACCAAATACCACTTTCTCTTGTTTCTCTCCACAATCCACCCGTCACTTGGCGGCCCTTCGTCCTCATCATCCACCTCTGCCTCAGGATCAGCTTCCTCCTCACTTTCCTCTCCCTCACCGACATCAGCATCTTCATCCTCCTCAGGCTTGGTCGTCTTCCCTCTCAGGTGACTTGGAAGAGGCGCCGCCTCCATAGCTGATTTCCTCTCTGGCAACAAGTAGGAGTAGGCCCCGCAATCCTCTCCCTCTTTGAGCCCTTTGAGGTGGTGGAGCATCCAAGGCCTCACCTGTCGAATGTCCCAACCTGTATGCTGTAAAGGCTTCCCACGCCGCTCATACTCGGCCTGGCACGCTTCCAGCATCTTCGTTTTCTTCCTCCTGTCATGGTGTGTGTGCTCCCAAATTAACCAGACGCTTAAACAGCTACCCGCAATAATACCATAAACCGCAAAACAGTACAGGTTACCTTCCAGGACAAAATAATTGAAAAAATTGAAGTTAAATTCGGCCTAGACACTCACAAGGTTCATCTTGTGGCGCAAAGCCGAAACAAAAGCTCAGCAGAAGGAAAAGGTCTTCTCGCTCTAGCTTCTTGGTGACCGCTGGATTCATGTTGGTCTTGTCAGCAGCGTTCAGCCAAACGCGAAAATGGTAGTTCTTAGCCAAGTCGGCATGGTGGGACATAATGACATAAGACTATTTTACTATTTTCAAGAAAATCCATTGGCCAAGTTGGTGGGGCAAAGGTCAGCGGTTTAATAAACATTAAGTATGTTTGCCAAAAAATGTAGAAACTTCTGAGCACAGGCGAGGTTCTGGCATTTCTTCAAGGGAATTGTGGTTGTAGTACTCCGTGTTCACGCTCCGCCCACCCTCAGATTGTGGAATCCTTTTTCCCTTCGAGGACGCCTTTGGTGACGCGCCAGCTTTTGGTGCTGCTGATGGCTTCCGTGGCCTGGTCTTTGACTTGGGCGCTGGCTCTTCTTCTTGTTCTGTTTCTTCAGGCTCCAGCCCCACTGAAGAACCTCCTGGCCACCTGAGATGGACTAAGCGGGTTTCTGAATGTTCCAAAAAACTACATGATCTATAAAATATAAAGATTCTCTTTTGTCTGTCATGGGAAAGGGGGAACATATCATAAGTGGGCACATGATTTTACCAAGAAACACAGCAGGTGCCCGTTGCGCAGACTTTCCCCTCATTCGATGAGTGGGCGCTGCAGCCACTCGCTTCGACGGAGGCTCAATCGACTTGGTCTTCGATGTAGGACGTTTCGGAGCTTTCTCCCTCTTAGGACGTTCCTCTTCGCGCTCTTCTTTGCGACCGCGGGCAGGGCCTGACTTGGACACCTTCGAGCGCCTCACCTCAGCCTCTTTAGTTTTTGCCATGGTCACACGCCACTGGAAATCGAATTGCAAAAGCGGGTACAACTCTGACTCTTGAGTGTAAAGGGCGGTTTCACCAAAAGAAGATGATTACCGACACACAATTCTTGTTGGGACCAGGCCGAATCGAACTGCATAGCTATCTCCAAACAGTTGTGAAGTGCACAGCGAACATCACATTTGTCTTTGGTAACGCTTTCTCAATGCCGAGAAAGCAATTCCTCAAAACCCTTGAAAGTGTCCTTATATGAGCCTCTGCCCTGACAACCCCGATCAAACAATACAGTAACAAATTTGCAAAAGAAGGGAAATGGGAACTGAGAATCTTGTGAGGGTGCCCCAACTGGACAACTAGCAATCTTTTGACCGGCTCTGCATGGGTGATCAGCTCAGGACTTTACACTCGAGCGGCTGTAGCTCGACAGGGCCGCTAGCTGGATGATGGCAGCCTGTGTGAAGTGCATACAGTTGCCTGCTACTGAGTTAGCCCTGGCAACATCGAGGACGGGCAGAGTTGAAACCTTAAGTTTCTTTGCAATCGAAGGTGTGACGGGGAATCCTAGTGTTCCCAGCTTCTCCCTGCCTGTCAAAAAACGTTTCCTGTGGACAGACCACGTCAGGCCTCCAGACATCCTCAGTGTGGGGATACGACCACTCACAGCGCTCCAGCATTTCCTCTTAGCATTGTCCCCAAGATAGTAAACTAAGTCCTGGTCTTCCTGTGGGTTTCGCTTCCACCTGCGCCGGTATTCCTGGTTGAGGGTCTTGATGACCTGCTTCTCCCTCTGTGTGAGGAGACGTGAAAGATCTGGCCGTTTGCTCTGAAGAACCTTGGCGGCAGGTTGAAATGGAGGAGATGGACCCTTATCCATTCCAGTCCTGCTAGGAAAACTCGCCCCCATGACAGCGGGTTGGCCAAAAAAAGAAAAACTCAAGAACATCTGACTCCTGCAAGTTTATGTCTAAGTAGCAGCGCTTCCCAACTTAGCATTCCTTCGCGCAGCCAAATCATTCGCGACCAGAAGTACTTCTTGCTTGCTCGCAATGAAATAGTCTCGAGGCTTTGTTTGGATGGTCGATCTGATTTTGCCAGCAATGTGGTTGTAAACATTGTTTGGGTCGAAGATTTCCACAGTGCAGGTTTTATTCGAAAGGATGATGTAGACCCTCTCCCTCCGAACGCCAGAGTGACCTACGTCATCCGTATCCACACGGAGAACACGCATCCTGTAATGGCTGCCATAGAGTTCCCGAATAAGCTTCAGCCGTAGGTTCTCAGGGGCCAGGGGTCCACATGACATGATGACTTGATGTGACCTTCTCAGGAGTGGGTTGCCCCTTTTCAAAAGTTGTTTGAACAAAGTCCTTTTTCAGAAAACACCCGGGACTCCTTGACATTCTCCACAATCACAAGGGGTGTTTGAAGGTGAACATGTCTCTTGGCATGTGATAGGAAGGCCCCAATGGTTGGGCCATTTTCCTGGAGACGTTTGCCAGCCATACTGTAGTCCCAGCAAGGTAACCCCGCCATCTCTAGATCAGCGCAGCGAAAATGGCATTGCGCATTGTGGGTGTAGCAGTGTTGTGTCAAAAAGATGGGGGCGGCATCGACTTTGTGGAACTTGATTCGGAAAGAATCTTGTGGCTGATAGGTCCCCAGTGGGATACACCCCTCCAAATCACCAAACACACAAGGGTCTTTACAGCGCAGCCCGGCGTTCTTCCGAAGCCAAGTGCAGTGGTCGAAGATGAGCTGACGGCAATGAACATCCCACTCCTGAAGAGAGCTAGACTCGGGGTCGTGTAAAGAACGAGCATCTAGCTCCGGTTTTTTTATTCTTATCATATCCACAAAACTTCACTCATACCAAACGTAAACAGAACAAGACTGAGGATGAATTTCAACCTTTCCGTGACCCTAAGCTGAAAATCACCTTTACGAATTGTTGAGCATGATGCCAAGTGTCGTGGCAAGAGATGGGTCTAAAACTCACTGGAACTCGAAGCTTTCCAGATTTGTTGATCGTGACTTCCAATGCAGCCAAGCTCATCTCTGAGGTAAATGCCCCAGTGCAGCTACTGGATGTCAGATGAGCTGTCACAAGCATTGACTCCTGCGCTTGCTTGGGCGGCTGGCGATGGATGAAATGATGTTTGTGCATGATGATGTCTCTACCCACTTCGATGACCTTTGCAACCCCTCTTGTAAACTGGACCAACCCTTAAAAACAAAACTCTAACGTTCCTCCAACCCCACACTCCTCCAACTTGTTGATTGGCACACGCTCCAGCAAAGCTCCCCACGCTAGATCCAGAGCTCCGGCGGCTGCACACAGAGCATGGCTTTCTTGAGGTTGGTCCTTATGTTCTCAGCCCAGATGGGTTCAACATAGTGTTGTGACTCGTTTGTTGCTTCTTGGGAAAACATTCAGTAGGCAAATTTCAGGTCGAAACAAAAGTTTAGCTAATCAATATGATAAACGAAACCAAGAATCCAAAGAACTGGATGTTGAAGACGTGCCCAAGTCTTCCAGGGTATATCTCGAGAATTGGCTCGAGGAAGCAGATGCAGCTTCGTCCATGGCAAAAAGGTGACAGTGAGTTTGCCCCACACAGCAACAGGCAATGGCAAGGTCATTTAAACCGGATTAATCTACTGTAATTTAGTGAAGAGTGTGTTTCCTTGACCGCAGCTACAAAACAACATTGGTTGCAACCTGTGTGAGAAGGCCAAAACTGGAAAAAACATGGATTTCAAAGGTGATACATTCTAGTTGAACCTGAACCACAAATCTTGCGATGCGGGCCGTTGTTTAAAGTGTCCCTGCCACCACCCCCAGTTGACTTTGCTGGGTGCCCCTGCAACTGGCGGTGCGTAAGCACCATGTTGAATCTCTGGCGCCCAGAGAAAGGCCAGCTCTGTAGGCCGTCCAGCTATGCTGCTCCCATCCATGTAGATCTCAGCCGGCTGCGAGCTGGTCAGTGACAAATTGAACTTTCTCAGAGGGCGTGAAAAAACTGAAAAGGTCTTGTTTCTCTATTTGGACTCAACTGGTGACCCAGAGCAGAAGAGTCTTCTGGGGTCTCTGCATGGAAAACGTTGCAGGTTGAAAGTTCTGCTCGAGCGCGGTTCCAGTAGGTTTCCTGACAAAACACTTTCACTTATCAGATTATCATTCCAGATGTGCAGCTTAAATAAAGTGCTATGTGTTTAGGTTCAAAACCATAGCACGCAATCTTCACATATTATGTAATGTTGTGAACACATTGCATCAAGAGTGGCGCGCAATGATATGGGAAACAAGCCAGGCTGGCACACACGATAGCAGCAAACCTGGACACTGTCACATGGTTCAGCTTTCTGTCGTCCAGCAATTTGCGCAGCGTCAGCCCATGGTCGGCCTCAAGTAGTCCATATATTGTTTTGACAAACGCAAAACAAATAACACCATTAAATAGATAAATATGTATATATAAAAACTTATGGTCCTATGGTCCCTATTTTTTGTTGGTTTGAACAATTAAGCATGCAAACTAGTCAGGAAAGAGACAAGTTACGCCAATGTAAGCCAAAGTCTCATTTTCCTGCAACAGAAAATTTGCAGCCTGCACCATAGCCAGAAAATTTGCAGCTTTGCTCTGAAACCGATTCTTCCGACCGGTCCGTTGAAATTCTGAAGCTTCCAGCGCCAGCCTGCTCATGTTGTCGTCCATCCAACTGGCTGCTTGAGCTAGGAGAGTGAAAGCTAAAGGCTTGAGAAGACGTTGAGCGAGACCGCCCTTTGAATCTACAGCGAATGCGACAATGTCCAACCAATGTGGCCTGTCAGCCCCTGAACTCACAGCATGTTTTGAATCAATCCTGCACAGCTCCCATGTTGGGACAATGCGGCAATCCTGGCTCTTCGTCCACAGCAGTCTGGAATTGAGGTAAGGGTTCATTGCAGACACCTGCACACTAGTTTCTCCATCTTGTGGCCTTCCAATCTTTACAACGCGGAAATCCAGCTTCCCAGCCCTCTGTAGCACATGGTCCAGCAGTTCTTTGAGATAGCTCAAAGTTCTTGAGCGGTCTTCTGCCATTCTCCTGCTTTTGGATGCCCCCCAAGCTAGCCATGCCATCGCCATTGAAGTAGGTACACTCTTTTGCTTGAGGTACACTATTTGTGGTTCAGCTTCACTGTCAGAATTTGCAGTCGCCCTCTGGTGTTTCGATTGGAGCATTTTTGGAGGCCCGAAACCAGGCCATAGCTCACGATGAGTCTCCTGTACTTCCGCAAACTTCTCAGTAAAGAGCACATGGAGCTTGGTTTCATTCTTGGCACGGAATATTCTTCTCATGAGTGGAACCACAGCCCATTGTGCCTGAATCGCCCGATCTGGAGTGTCCCCATGTGGATCAACCATTGTCACCAGCACGTCTTGAGGCAAAATGCACTCAATCAACCCCACTAAAGCCGCCTGATCGTTCTCATCAGCTCCTTCATCGATGTCCATGGCTTCGCCATCATCTGAAGGCGCCTTGACAACCGCTTCGACCTCCATATCATCCATGAGGCGCAGGCTGCATTCTGCAGCAATCTCAATTTTCTCACATGAACATCCGATGCTAATTGAGTCTGATCCAAGGTCCTTATTTATTCTTTGCCTTTTGCGCACCTCTTCAACATGTTCGTGATACTATTGCAGCGCTTGAAATTGAAAAACTTGGCTGCTTTTCACAACCTTGATCCACGATCAGGCGTCACACCTTCTGAGAGGACTCACAAAAGAGACTCCACACGCGCAGCTTCACAAGTCATCTAAAAATTATGTTTTTTCATGTTTTTTCTCACTATTTCAGGGTTATTTCCAGGTTTTCTTATTTCATAGTTATTTCAAGGTTATTTCAGTGTTATTTCATGGTTATTTTCTTATTTCATGGTTATTTCAGGGTTATGTTGTAGGGGGGTCGGGTTGGGGGGGGGGTAGGGTTATGAATTTGTGATTTTAAAGGCCCTCTCTGCCCACCCTACCTAGAAGCAATGGCCTCCAACCTACTAACGATGGCCTCTAGCATACAATGTCCAGCCATCATCATCCAACCCGGCTTCTTAGCTGCTTGTTCACCGGCTCCATTGTGCACGATTTTGTGTTTTTCCTCTAGAGCTTTAGTCCCCTTTTCTTTTGCCTGGTCGTTTCTTCTTGTCTTTTTTAGACCTTTAGACCTGATCTGTGTCCTTTTTCTTTTCCTTTTTCTTTCTTCATATTTTTCCTTGCTGCTTGTTCACTGGCTTCATTGCGCACTCTCAAAATCTTGAACGATCCAAGCTCCTGCGTGAGTTTCCACGTCTAGAATCAGACCTGGCATGTCAGCTTCATCGCAAGACACCAGGCCATAACCATTTCCAATTTGAAATGAAAACACATTGAAACAAATGTGTGTGTGTGTGTGTGTTTCGTTTGGGCAAAAACAATTTGAAACACGAATTGTGACCTCGAACGGGACGCAGCCCGCGGTGCCTGAACAAAGGGCACAAGGATCCAGAGAACTGAGGCAACTGGCTACGCGCCGCTATTGCTCCTAGTAGCGTTCTTGCTTCTAGTAGCGATGCCAGGAGCCCCTAGTAGAGTCCTTGCTCCTAGTAGCGTCCTTGCTCCTAGTCATTCGCCCCTAGTTGCGTCCTTGCTCCTAGTCATTCCCCAGCGCAAACCGCAAAAAGATCACTGAAAATCCTTTGATGCAAAAGACATGCTAATACCGGGCAAATATTTTTGAAAATATACTCGTCTGAGACCTAGGCGAATCGCAAACTTTCAGCATCTGGATTTGTCAAATGCAAGCTTGCGGCAAAGAGACTTGAGAAGTGAATAAAATCCAAAGGATGATAATCTTTGGAGGCCATCGCAATTGCTAGAAGGTTCGAGACCATCGCTACTAGGGCGGAGGCCATCGCTCTTAGGTTGGAGGCCATCAAAGAGAGCTCCGTTCAAAAAAGGAGAGATGCAAAGAGCCTAGCAGAAATGTTTCCCAAAGGAAATGACTCAACTTGGGAAAGAAAAGATTCATGAATGCTGACACTGGTTGGTTCAGCATTACAAACGGTTTTGTTTAAAGGCCAAAACTTGAATGAGGAGGAGCTTTCACAAACGGTTGCAAACGTTTTACAAGGGGAAAGGCTTTCAAACAGGAGCTTGGAAAGGCACTATGTGATCTTGGTAAAGGAAAGAGTTTGAGAAAAGAGGAGGTTTGGACAAAACAGGAGCCCTTTTGATAATGCATAAGACATGACAAGACCGTCTTAGATCCATCAAAATATGTTTGTAACGAATGCAGAGATTTGTTGAAGAAAGCTCCCAAAGCCTGAAGAAGCCTGAGCCTTAATGAATTGGTTCCTAGTCTTTCCCAAAACTATATCAATGCTGGCAATCGCTACTAGGGTGGAGGCCATCGCTATTAGGAACCAATTCATTAAGATATAGTCTCTTTTGGTTCTCAGACCCTGACAGAGACGAATCTACACTCCCATAGGCTGTGTAGAATGCTCTCCGTACCACTGTGACTCCCATAGGCTGTGTAGAATGCTCTCCGTACCACTAGTAGTAAGGCCAGGAGCCCTAGTAGCGATGCCCTTTGCTCCTAGTAGCTTGTGTGAAAGTGATGCACGTTTGAGGGATTTAGTGTCTTTGGGTGTGGATTCTGACTTGGTTGTATGGGTTCAGAAGGTTGACTTACCTGGTACCTAACCCATGCTAACTTCATCACCGTTCCCCGAAATGGCAAAACTATTTCATACAGCGTGTGGATGCTGGTAGTTTCTTGTGGCTGGCTGCTACCCACTTAGCTTATTAGCCTGCGCTTCTGCGTCCGGCGGAGTGTCCTTGCGACTTTAATTACTTAGCCCAATAGCTACTTAAGCTCACCTCTTGGCCTACCACCCTCTTTTAAAAAAAAAAATAAATAAGAAAGAAAACAACTAAAAAAAGTAACGACAATATATATATATATATTATATATATATATACATATCTATAAACGTCTAAAGAACTTGAAAAAATACAAAACTCACCTAATGTATTAATGCTAATTAGCTTTAGTTACTTGATGCTCATCTCACGAACAACCGGAATTTGCATGGGAACACAAACCTGAGGCGCTGGCCCGGCTGTCACTCCTCTGGAGAATCCAAGTTCCGACACCAAAAACCAGAAAAACTGGGACAACAAATTCTGGCGTTCAAGTAGTAACAAGAAGCTAGTAGTAACAAGTGCATCGCTACTAGTAACAAGTGCCTTACTAGTAGTAACAAGTGCCATCTACATTGAACCGCCTCCAACCTACTAGCGATGGCCTCCAACCCAAGAGCGATGGCCTCCAACCTACTAGTGATGACCTCCATCCTACAGTAATCTACATTGAACCTGCAATTTAGAGTTGTGCCTCACGTGTTTGAACCTAGTTCTCCTGTTCCTAAACAGTTTGCAACCATTGGTTTTGTGTTTCTGGAAACATGACCATCGATTTGACTTCTTGAAATACCTGAAACGCTGCCTCAACATGTTGGCCCACCTTGTCAACAGTCATGTTTTCCAATGTTTTCTCAAATAACAAAACCGTTTTCCCTAAAAGTCTAGGAACCAAATGAACAATGGTGCGAGCGCTTCTTCAAGGAAGCTCCCCTTCGCCGCCTTTAGGCCGGCCAGGGTAGTTTCCTTGCAGGAACGTGAACTATCCTGCGTCCTACCTAGAAAACCTAGCCAAGGCCTGGTAATGAACTACCACCTTACTGAATTCAGTAGGAGCGGGCTTAATTAAGAATTGGAAGCCATCGCTGAGACCTGGGACATCGCACCGTGGCAACCTGCTCCGTGAATCACTTCTGCCCATGGCGCACGCACGGCAGGGCTGTGAGGATTTTTCAACACAGGCAATTCTTCGCTTTGTGAATTTCGATCAGGTTTACCACAAGGGGGTGATTATGGCCACCCCCAACCAAATGCAGAACAATGTGGTTTGAAAACCTAATACAAGCAGTCACCTGCCACCGTTGAATCATGATCAATTTTCAAGCAACATCCTGGTTCTGCGACATACATTTCACCAAAAAAATCAACGGACTTGTATGGCCCCAACTACACTGTTCAATGTAAAAACAAACATGGGCACGAGCTTGAGCAGCGTCAGCATCGATTTGGTTGCGCAATTGATCAGTGTCACAGCACAGGATTGATCAAACATGGTCATCTATACAGGTATGAATGCCTAAAACAGACACGCCTCAAAGTTTGGCGGCTCAGTTTTGCTGTTGGACACTGCTATCATTGCAACCACCAGTAAAACCTGTCCAACAATTGTTGTCTCCACATGTCAGTTGATATGTCCCTTTCCGATATGATTGCATCATTCTTCAACAAGACTCTACAAGCTCTGCCAATGTTTGCTCTTCATAGTCAATTGCCCAAAAAGTTCCATACATGTTTTGCTGTGCTTGGATGCTTCGCTACAGTTGGTTCAGCTGGTGCAACGGCGCACCCATGCAAATTGAAATCCAAAACAGTGCATTGTACATAACGTAATATCATTAATTCCTGCCTTGGTTGTGGCACGCAAAAATGATCAATTTCCCTCACTCGCGTTCCAACTAAAGTGGTGCAAATGTTGTCCAAACACTGCGTCCATCAAGAATTCCAACTGGTCTTGCGCCTGATGTTTCTTCTTGTATTGTATTCATGTACCTTCTGATTCGATCTTAATCTTTTTGTTCCATATCGGTGTCATTTTGATGTTCTCAACTTTCATTGTCTGGTCGAGCACTTGGGCTGCTCAAACATGGAAAATGCAAAATCAACACGTCTGTCCAGCAGCTACTCTCCTTCTCAAAATGAAAAACACGCACGGCCGGTTTTCCTCCAAGGGATCTTGGGCCACTTCATTGGCCGGCGTGAAAAGGCTGAATGAAGTCCCATGAAACTTTTTACACACCCCAAGAAAACAATTAATGCTCTCCTTTCTCTACAAATCAGTGGTTTCCATGTACCGGGCCACGTGCTCGTCCCAATTCGTCTCCCACTGGCCACTGCAAACGACCACCGCGAAATGGGCGAAACATCTGCGTTCTTGCGCCGTCCAGCTCAAGATGTGGTCAAACGCCATGTGCGGGAACCTCGCTGAGTGTTGCCAGCCGTGTCCTCAGGAACTTCAAAAGACTCACAGGAAAAATTCCTGACTCCGTCCTAGACAAGCTTGGTGTCTTGAACGCTCACGCAGAAGGAACTCTTCTTTTTGCAACAATGGGGGCTCGACATCCACAGGCCAAGGGTCTGGCACTGTAGGAGCTGTACGTGGTGTGGGTGGGTGGGCTTTGCATGAATCTTCGAGGCCACCAATTTAGTGGCGCCCACCGCACCCGCCCTTGAAAGTAAAAATGGCGCACACAACGAAGATATTCTCAAGACACCCGAAACTAGATAGTTTCTAAAGCTTATCCAAGACTACGATATCGTTTCACGAGTCTCGTCGTCCTAGACAAGCTTGGTGTCTTGAACGCTCACGCAGAAGGAACTCTTCTTTTTGC